TGCACTCACTGTGCAGACATCTTCACCAGCGGGTCGCAAGGTGCGTACTCGGCAGAGGGCACCCTCAGGAACATCCTAGAGCAGGGAGAGAAGGGCTGGGCAGGCGCTGCAGGGAGTTCCAGCCTTTTCAGGGGAATCGTGGGGTGCTGAGCCTGAATTCTCCACCACCACCACAGCACAGTCCAACCCACTGGCTGGTTACAAAATAAAGGGGCTGTGATGGGGGAAATGGGCAATTTGTGGAGTCCTACCTGGGACAAAGCTCCAGCTCATATTGGACAATGGTGAAGCTCCCAAAACCCACTGCTATGGGAATGGCTTCCAGGGGCAACCCAGTCCCATGGCAAGGGGCCAAGGAGGGGGTTCCTGTACCCCCTGTTGGCGTGGGATGCTCCCAGCCTGGGACACACTCATCTCGGTCTCACTGGTGCCTCCAAAATAATTTTGGATGGCTGCTCATGGCTGCCCAGGACCCACAGGGATGGATGGGAGGTGGAGGGCTCAGACTCCCACAGCTGTGACTCCCACACCATCCCAACCACCCTCACACCTGTGTTCTCTCTTGCTCAGCACCCAGGACCCCCCTGTACCCTGCCAGGAGGGCAGATCACGACTTGGCTCTGGCACTGCATGTCCCAGCCCTGCCAGGGGACAAGCCACTGTCCCCCACACTTGTCACAAAGGCCTTTGCACCTACATGCCAGGTTCAGCTGGGTACGCCTCCATCCTGAGGCCGCCTTCTCGAGGTTCCTTGGGTGTTGGGAGCCTGCTGCCAGTGGGAGGAAACCCTCATCAGCATCCCCATGGTTCCACCAGTGGATAAATGGGTCCCACACCAGGGCCCAGCCAGAGGGAACAGGGCCAGTGCTGTCCCCAAAGCCGTTGCTGTCCCCGTGGCACTCACCTGCTGGGCCCAGCCACGCTCTCAGATGGCACCCAGAGGTCCTGGGATCCTGGGACACCTCGGACTGACTGCACCCTCTGGACTGGGGCACCGCTGCCAGGAGCTCCTGGATGCATTTCTGAGGTGGTGCCATCTGAAATCTTTATCTGAGCATGGGGAGGAGCCTGAGCAAACAGAGCAGTGTTTCAGCCCCAGCTCTTGCCCCCAGAACTGCACCCCTTTCCCTCAAGGAAGCCCCCTGTGCCACTGGGAGCTTGGTGTTAAACCAGCCCTTGGTGTAAGGGCAGCAAGATGGGGGTGCAGACCCCAAAGGAGGGGCAGCACCCCCGGGGCTGGGAAGAGCCTTTACCTTGGAGATGCCCATCTTGGTCTCTTCTTCCCTGATCTCTCCCGTGCTGGTCATCTCAGGGCGACTGTCCAGGGAGCTGGGAAGAGCCTCTACCTCAGTAATGTCCATCTCCAACTCTTCCTTCTTGATCTGTTCCATGTCCTCCTGTCCCATGTCAGCCTGTCCCATGTCAGTCCCTCCTCTGTCACCCCATTTCACACTCTTCCCCATGCCCTTCTGTCCCATGTCA